CTCTTCTACTGGTTCTGTTTCTCTGGAGAACCCTGAATAACACAGTCGCTTGGGAGAGGACCTGCCTGGGACACCACTGCACCCCTAGACCCCACACAGTACCAGGGACATGTAGTCACTCTGAGACATTTGGTCAGTAAATAAATATTTCTAAGAAAACCACTGAATGAGACCCTGGTTGCTACTGACCCCACCCTCAGCCAGTCACCATGTCACACAGCCCCCTTTACCACCATCGGCCCCGTATTTTTTAGGGGTCAGTTGGAGTGAGGGGCGGTTGCAGCAGCTTTCTGCACTGTCGGAAGGATGGAGGGAACCTCCTTTAGAGATAAAGTAGGACAGCATTTTCGTAGAATTTCTCCCATATATATTTTTTTACCACCGTCTGTCCATTTTCCCTCTTGCTTTTGACTCAGAGAAAAGCAGACACGTTAGGAGACTTAGAACACAATCCAAACCCCAGGTGCTGATTTCAAAGCAAGCATCAAACCCTGCAGCTTCCTTTTTGGCTGATAAATAGAAACTCCTGACTCTCTAAGACAAGTCCCAAAGGCAGTGGAGGCCCCGTTGCTAAGAAAAATGCTTTGAGTGCCTCAAAATACCGAGGCTCCCCAGGGCTGGCTGCGTGTCTGGGTATTATAGCAGGAAGGTTATGATTCTGGCAGAAGCAGGCTGTGGGCCTGATCGACTCCAAGCTAGTAGGTGGGGAAATGGTTTCTAAACTTTCACCCATAGCTGCCTTTTTCCTGACCTCTTTCTCCCCAGGAAAATAAAATAGATCCTAAGAATTGAGGTGGGGTTGAAGCTTACGACTACCCCAAAGAGATTACTGTGTCCTGAGAAATCCAGGCTGAGATTCCTGCTTCCAGGATTGACTGGGTCAAATCCATCTATTGCAAACTCAACTGCCTTAGCGGCCAGGCCGGTGATATCAGTCAGTGAGCTGGACCTATGAGGAATGAGTGAATGGTGACAATTATGGAGAACCGGGAGACCAGGCTCCATCTGACTGGGGCCCTCCACACTGCTCCAGACAATTGTTGCCACATGGAAATACAGCCCAGCACTCTCAGATCTCTTGGTTTTTCATTAGAGGTTAGATATCTGTATTTTACATTCAAATCTCCCAACCAGGAGACCTAGCTACAATTTTTTATGCGAGTGCCTCGCCCACTGAGTCTCAGACTGAATTCTGCCCTCAGGCCAGATGTTCAACAAAAGAACTTAATCAATGAAATTTGGAAAACAGGCGTTTGTCTGCAGGATGGCTGGTCGTGGTTGTGTGTAGGGTTCCCTCCATCCCCGGGGTGGCCAGAGTGCTGTCTCAGTCATTGAAAATACACATTTGAACAAACAGTGGAATGACCAACTCATCCTCCTTTACCTGGGACTGTCCCTGTTTTCAAACCAAAGTCCTGCAGCCCATGGACCCCCGCAGGCCCAGGAAAACTGGGACAGTTGGTCACCCTAACAAAGAGACACTTGGTGAGCCATTTGGCTGTGCCCACTTGGAAGCTTATTAGCTTGAAGGGGAAACAGACCCTTTGGGGAATAACTGTGGCCAGCAGTGGGGACTGTGCCACTCAGACTCAAGGTCAAACATCGCTCCTTCTGACCTTTCCCTCGTGGCATCTGAGTTGAGCAGAGCTGTGCCTTCAGACAGAGCCTGTCCAACCTCCCAGGCGTCTACGAAGAATTGCTGTGAGAGCCTGGGCCCCGAGTGACAATGTTGAGCAGCCTCCCTGCCACCCGCACTGAGCTGTGCCACGAGTGAGGACAAATCTTGGTGATGAAGCCACTGAGATGTCAGGGTTGTTTGTCACAGCTTTTGGCCTACCCCAGTGGACACACTACTGGGCCCCTACCTTTCTGGCCAGCAGCACCTGGCCTAAAGGTGAGTTAGACCCCTCAGATCTCCTCTCAGAGGAGTTTGGGTTTGCTGCTCGAGGGCCTAAACGGTCGTTAGGGCTGCTTGAAGATAAATATGCGCAGGAACCACGGGCTGGTCAGGTGCTCAGACGAGAGAACGTTGGTGGTAGGGGCTGAGTTGCGTCCGCCTCCCCAAAATTTGTATGTTGAAATCCTAACCCCCAGTATCTCTGAATGTGACTGTGCTTGGAGACAGCTTCTTTACAGGTAACTGAGTTAAAATGAGTTCACCGGGGTGAGTCCGGGTGCAATACGACAGGTGTCCCTATAAGAAGAGGAGATGCGGACACAGACATAGGAAAGACCCTGTGAGGACACAGGGAGAAGACGGCTGTCCACAGCAAGGGAACGCGGCCTCAGGAGGAGCCAGCCCTGCCGGCACCTGGAGTTGGAATGTCTAGACTCAGAACTGTGAGAAAATTGACTTTTATTGTTCAAGCCATGTCGTCTGCTGTGCTTTGTATTGGAGGCCCAAGCCACCACAGGGGCATGAAGGTGGGCAGATAGGAGTCTTGTGTTCAGAGAGAGAGGAGCTTTCCTGCCTCGGAATCTTCCTGGTTTCCGGTTCTGAGCCTTCACAGGCTCTGACTCGACCTCCTGGTCCTCAGATCTGGGGAATAACAAATTCCTCTCTTTTGATTAAACTAGTCACATGAGTTTCTGTTACTCACAACTAAACAGAGCCTT